TAATCCCAGCACTTTGGGAGGCTGAGGCGGGTGGATCACAAGGTCGAGAGTTCGAGACCATCCTGGTCGACATGGTGAAACCCCGTCTCTACTAAAAATACAAAAAATCAGCTGGGCATGGTGGCGCGTGCCTGTAATCCCAGCTACTCACGAGGCTGAGGCAGGAGAATTGCCTGAACCCAGGAGGCGGAGGTTGCGGTGAGCCGAGATCGCGCCATTGCACTCCAGCCTGGGTAACAAGAGCGAAACTCCGTCTCAAAAAAAAAAAAAAAAAAATTAAAATTAAAAAATTTCCCTTCAAGGTAAATGTGATAACAATAACTAAGAAAGTTAATATTTTCGAAAAGAACCTGTGCTAGGATGAGAGCATTTAGAAAATAGATATTTGAAAGTGTGGGCCGGGCGCGGTGGCTCAAGCCTGTAATCCCAGCACTTTGGGAGGCCGAGGCGGGTGGATCACGAGGTCGAGAGATCGAGACCATCCTGGTCAACATGGTGAAACCCCGTCTCTACTAAAAGTGCAAAAAAAATTAGCTGGGCATGGTGGCACGTGCCTGTAATCCCAGCTACTCAGGAGGCTGAGGCAGGAGAATTGCCTGAGCCCAGGAGGCGGAGGTTGCGGTGAGCCGAGATCGCGCCATTGCACTCCAGCCTGGGTAACAAGGGCGAAACTCCGTCTCAAAAAAAAAAAAAAAAAAAAAAGAAAGTGTGTCTCAGTTTTGTTATTTTTTTCTGAAAAAACTTAAAATACGCATATGCCACATATATACATTTTCATATCTGCACATTTGAAAATCATGGGAACAGAGTTTTCTTAGATGCTTAAAAATCTTTCAGATAAATGGTTTTGCAACCATTTTGCTGAAAATTTCTTAGTGTTACGTCTTCTAGTTTGATAGAAAAACTGATTGACATTAGGGAAGATGGACATTTGTTAGCCCAACGACATTTGAAAAGCCTTTTTATCACTGGGCACATGAAATGGGAAAATTAGTTTTATGGTTTAGAAATGCAGCCAGTAAAGCAGTTCCTCCATTTTGCACTTGTATTTTGTATGGTCTCAGCTATGAAAACTCTACACCCACATAAACTCTTCTCAGAATTAGACTTTTACACTTCAGTATCACAAAGCATATAACAAGAAATGTTAAAAAATCACAAAGTATATTCAGCCCTGTTGCTTGTATTTGTGCCACTAGTAAAGTAACATTAAAAATTGCTTTTAACCATTTTTATTTCATCTTTATGTTTTCTGTTCTAATTTAACTTAAAAAGTGAATATATATGTATTGCAACGTGTGTGAAAATTTTTTTTAATGAACAGATGCACAAATAATTTTGATTGTTTAAAATAATAACCTGTTAAGCAAGTCATTATTATAATCAACTGTTTCTAATTTTGGTTTAGAATAGCCAACAAAATTTTTCTAAAATACTTTTCTTAATAAAATTCATGAGTGAAAATTTGGGAACAAGTAAAATGAGAAAATGGGAGAGAAAAATCACTAAAAATTCTACCATCCATAATCATGTTGAAATTTTAGCGCATACCCTTCCAGATTTCATTATTTAACATATCTTCATCTTCCATAAACATAAGTTTATCCTTCATTTAAAAGTGTTTTTAATAGAGAGCCTTTAAAGAATTATTTAAAAGGAAATTTAAATGAGATTTTGGGACAAGGATTAAAAGTTAAAGACAATACTCAGGAGCTTTGTTCTGTGACCAAGGCATAATTGACACTGGATGGGATTATAACATTTGTTAAATTTAGTTCATTGCCTGTCATGTAAATGGTCTTTAGATGTCTCAAATGTGTGGTTTAACTACGAAGAGAAATTACCAAGAAATAGTCTGACCAAATTTTGCGGTTTTTGATTTGCTTTATCTTCAAATGGCCTATGTATCAAGGCAGAGAGATTAAAGGGAACTAAGATTTTGATAAAGCTTTTGTTTCTGTTCAGTATTACAACTGTATCCCAAACTGATAAAATATGGTTTATAAACTAGAATTATTAACTACATGCAAGAGGGTAGAGAACAGAACCAAGGGAGTGATTATGAAGGGAGTAATTGTATCTTTAGAATCAAGCAGTTATCTTTCAAAGGTATGGTCCTGGACTCGATCTTCTCATAGAACATTTTTTATCAATGACTAATACTACTAGAAATAGTCATTGACATAGCAAATGAAACCTAGCTGGGAAATGGAAAGTAAGAAGAGGAAGTCACATTCTCAATGACCAGATTAGAATCAAAATAAAAATTGGAGAAGTAGTAAGAAGTAAACAAAATGAGTAAGTCATATGGGTGGACTAAAAGAAGCAAGGAAGAGAAACAAGTTTCAAAACGAGGAATAGCTAGCAATTGGCAAGTATTAAAGAAGAAAACTTAGGGGTTTTAACAAGTATCAGTCTGACTACAATCAATAAGGAAGTGCTATTGTTTAAAAAGCAAACACAATATTATAGAATGTATTCCTTACCAAAATTTGCCTCAACTTCTGCTTCCTAGTTGAGTGTCACTTGCAAACACTAAGAATTTGTTCTTTTTACCAGACCTGCCATTCAGTTTAAGAGCCAATATGGAGAACCTAACCACTCAAACGACTGAAATAGTAACAGAGAAAAAACTAGTTTCAATGCAAGATTGAATGCCACTTTCTTCTCCTGCAAGAAATGGAGTAATTGAATAACTGTTGTTAATAGGAGCATATAGTTATGATATACTACTACTGGATTTAGGCACTTAATGTACCTCAAGTAACTTAAAAGTAGATTAGTTGTACTCAACTTTCATAACACACTGAGAGAAAATGAAGTTAAATTGTATTAGGAAGGAGTTAGTTTAGAATATACAGGGATTTTAAAAATACAATAAAAAAGTTTGGTTGGAAATCGGAACAACTGTAAGAATCCGGTATAATTTCTATCGATAGATTTCCACTTTTTAATAAGTGTGAAATGTGGTGATACATGGAGGAGTGAAATCTAAAATTTCTGATGTCTCAGCCAGACCTCAAATTATATGATTTTTGTTTTCGGTAGTAGCTAGAATAAATAAATTGCACCAAGATTTTTAAAGCTATAACGGAGGGAGCATGTTTGTTGGCATTAAAACTACTTCTGGCAATGCCAGGAGACGTTTCTTTGAAGCACTGTAATTGTGTTACATCCTAAATCCAAGTGCAGTATCAGCTGCAGATATCTAAACGTTGACTTAGTTAAAAAAAAAAAAAAAAAAAAAAAGACCTCGGTTATATGGACAATGGGCAATATCATAAGGAAGCAGTGCTCCTATTTTATTTTCTGGATGATGCTACTTTATGTTTCTTTTCTTTCTTTTTAACATTTATTTAAAAAATGATATATATTAACTATAGGACATTTAAAAAGTAGAGACAAGCAAACAACAAAAAAGTGCACGTGTAATTCCACAAATGAGGGGAGGAAATCAGTTAATTTTCACGTATATTTTCAGACTTTTTTCAACATACATGTATATATAAAATATTTTATAAGGTATACTTTTAATTTAGTATGTATTTAAACTTTATAAAAAGAGAAAATTTGTAATCTTTTGCTTGACTTAACATCATGAACATTACTTCTTATTACTAAGTCACTTTAAATGGTTCAGATAATTTACATAATCCCTACCTTTGGACATTTAAGTGTTTCCAAATTGTTATTAATAACTTCAATAAATATCCCATATACATATATACATATATACATATATACATAGGTATATATGTATATGGGATATTTATGTATTATGTAAAATACATATATATATATATGTATTTTAAAGCAAACAGAGAATTGGAACAAAGAAGAAATCCAGGGCATTCATTTACTCATCAAACAGGTATTTACTGAACACTTATTTGTGCCAGATACTGCATTAACTAGGAGCTGGTAAAACAGAATGGTTAAAGCAAGATCTCCACTGTTAATTAAAAGTCTTATGAAACAGAAAGATGAGCTGAGGAACTGGAGGGGACAAATCACTCATCCTCTCTTTAAAATAAATGTAGTTTAAGAAAGCTACTAGGTCAGTGGCCAGATGTATATATATTAACTAAGCAGTTTCTAGAATTAAAATCCCTAATGTTGATAGGCTTATGCATACAATAGATTAATCCACAACATCTGCATGAGCCACGCTCCTAGTTCCTACAGAGACAGAAAAGCCGGACACAGTGCCCAGCAGCCTCGCTTCGGTTCCCAGCAGAGGAAACCCCTCTCCCCGGCCTCCCGGCGCTGGCGCGATCCCGGCGCTGGCGCGATCCCACCGCGGGGACGGCCGCCCGCGTCCCCCTCCGCTGCACCCCCTTCTAGCGTCCTACGCATGGCGGCCAAAAAACAAAACAAAAAACCCGCCCAACCGCTCCCACTTTGAGAAGCCCTCCTAGCCGAGAGGGGCGTTCGGAAAGATCAATGGCAAGGCTGGAAAACAAACTTTGTTATGTGTTAACTTAGTCGGAGCAAAGCGATTCCAGGAAGGGAGACTAAAACTGTGCGCAGCGTTTTTAAAAAAAATTGATTCAATGGATGAACCGGGGGAGCGGGGCCGTCTACGGCAAGGCTTGAGAGCAAGCAGGAGACTCTCAGGCCGGCGTTGAGCAGGTGGCCCGCCGGTCGCATCTCGGCCTCCTCCTCCTCCTCCTCCGCCTCCTCGCTCGCCACCGTTTGGACGACGGCTTCCGCGGCGGTCGGAGGGGAGCATCCTTTAAGCTGCCAACTCGCATCAATGGGACTTTCCTCGTGGGAACTGCCCCTCCCGGCGGATATGCCCTCCGGGTCTGGCGTGGGCGGGCAGGCGGGCAGGCGAGCGCCGCGAGCTCCTTGCAGACCTTCGGTTGGATCCGCGCTCCCTCCGCGCCGGCACCGAGCCTGCACCACCCGCAGCCGCCGCCGCCAAGGGGGCGGGGGAGGTGCCGCGGGGGGCGGGCGCGGCGCGGGGAGGGGAAGGGGTTCTCGCGCGATTGGGCGAGGTTTCCGGTGTTGTGACTGAAACCCGTCAATATGGCGGCGATCGGCCGCGGCCGCTCTCTGAAGAATCTCCGAGTACGAGGTAAGCCCGCTGCAACCCTTACTCTCCAACGCCCGGCGCCCGCCACCCCCCGGCACTTGCCTTCCCCTGGCCCTGGGTGGGGAGCGAGCCGGGGCGCTGGCCGGAGCCAGGGCAGCCGCAGCTGGCCTGCGAGCGAATCCTAACTGGGGCTGTGTGTCTGTTTCGCGCAGGGCGGAATGACAGCGGCGAGGAGAACGTCCCGCTGGATCTAACCCGAGGTAACGCGGGGCGCCGCGGGTGCCGGCGAGGGCGCGCTGCTGGGGAGGAGCCGGGCCCGGGGCTTGGGGCCAGAGGCAGGGGCGGGCCCCACACGGGACCGGCGGGGTGTGGGGGGGCAGAGCCGGAGCCCCGCCTGCCCGCGGGAGCCGAGCCCGGGGCCGCCTCGCCGGACCCGCCTCGCCGGACCCATCCCCCTTCCCGGCGCCCGCGTCCCTGGCCCGAGCCCTTCTCCGGGCCTCCGGCTGCTGCGGGTGCGGGGGAGCCCCGAGTGGAACTCGGCGGACCCGGCCACCCTCTGGGCTCGAGCTCCGGCGGCGCGGTTTGCACCTATCCCGGAGTCCGGCAGCCAAGCTGGGGGCAGCCGGAGGGAGGTAAAGGCTGTTTTTTAGGTTGCAGGAGGATGTTTGAGGGATGAGCGACCACATCCTGCCCTCCCCATCCCCGGAGCAGAAACCGGACCTACTCGGTGTTTGCTGACTGCGTGATTGTTTTCCCCTTTGCCCACGGTCCTGTGGGGACCCGCAGCATTGATAACTCGATAGTGAAACCTAGAACTGGTCATTACTGCTGCCTGGTTTATGCTGTTTCCCTTCTGCTTCCCTTTCCCGGGCCGTTGGGACTGTAGTTCGCAAAAGACCGCCCCCTCGCCCTGCTGCAGGTTCATTGTTTACCTTCTGCAGTGGAGATGGATTTGTTTACACCTTTCGAACTGGGGAAACCCGGGTTATATTTTTCATGACCTAATCCGGTTACACCTAATCCAGTGTTTCTTCTCTCACTCACATTACTAGAGTTTACTCGACATTATCTCGTTGAAGATTTAGTAGTTACGTACAAGATTCTTTTCTCTTCCACGGTAAACACGATTTAGTCTACTAATTCTGACGAAGTCATACACGGGCTGTAGCTTGGATTGTAACCCGGCTCAGCTGTGCAGAATCGGTTTCAGAGATCTGTAAAACACTTTAGGAAGTAAAAACAACAACAAAAACTTGTTGTAAACATTATGAGCTATTTTTTACCCTATGCTGTGCTTGACGTAATGACTTATCTACAGTAATTTGTCAAACCTGGGCTTCTTATTCGCAATGGCTCGTCTCGAGTGAAAGCATAGTGCATTTTCTAATTTGTTTTATTTTGCATATCACAGTGTAAGATTAGTTTTATAAACTGAATGGTCAGCTTTCATTAGCTACAAGAGTACAGGTTTGTTACTTAATATATTATTCTGAAAGTTCAAGGACTTAGTTTCGGGTGAACTAGGTCCTTTTGCAAGCCAGCGTTTCTCAAATATAATGCAATGTAATAGAGCTTAAGTCCTGGAAATGGCTACTAATTAGATTATCAATGCGCTAATTTCCGACTTTTTTTCAGCAGATAGGTTTTGAGAATTAGTATAGAAAGACTTAAAGCTTTTGACTTCTGTACAGCAGTTTGGAAACTTGACTAAATATAACACACATGTGAAAAACTATATAAAATAGATTTACTAGTAAACTTCCTAACATAAGGATAATTCCTACAGTTTCAGGTCTGTAAAAGATGTAATTAGTAAGTGATTTAATTTATATAGCGGCATTTGTGTTTTTAGATGAAGGTGAAAGGAGCACTTAGTAAACTCGAGTTTATCTTGTGCATTAAAAACCTGCTTAGATGTGGTGCTGGAAATATATAGTTGTATTTTAAATTGAGTTCGTCGAGCTCCTATGTATAGTGGTTTCTCTTCTTGGTGTCAAAATGTTGAGTTGTGAAAGAGCTTAGGTACAAATCTGATAATTTTGGTTTACTCCCGTTTTACTGAGGCACACAGGTAACTCTGTTTACTATTTAAAATGCTGTATTAACTGAGCATTTCGTAAGCACCTGTGTCCATAGGTGTTTCCAGGTTAATATAAACCGTGCAGAAAATGCTGTTTCTGCTTGCCCTGACAAAGTGTACTTCAGTTTGGTAAAACACATACACAGCCACTTAAAACTGATTGCAAAAATAGAGATTTTATGAGATCTGTGTTTCTTAATCATAAGAAGTTTGGAATTAATCTGAATTAGTCACTTTATAGTGATACTATTGTTTTAACAAGTTGCTGTTGTGACAGACATTTCATTGTTCAAAGTAGGCTTGAAGAAAGTTCATGAGGAATTAAAGTTTACTAATAATTTGAGAACTGTGAGGCAGTTTGGGTTGCAGCTGAAGGGCAGCTGTTTGTGGGTTAGATTACAGTATGTAAAAAGATAAAGTTTGGGGAACCAAAAATTTTTTTGTTTAACGCCAAAGCAGTGTTTGCTTTTATTCTCATTGTTTTAATTTAATCTTTGAGAGAGTCATTGTGTAGATACCTAATAGAGCTCATTATAAAATAGAGGTCACGGTCATTGTAATACCTAAAGGAGCCATCAATGTGTAGTGAGAAGATAGTTGACTATAAAGTCAAATCATTCTGGGTTATAACCTCAGCTGTGAGATTTAATAGTTGGGTGATTTGTGGCAAGTTATTTGACCTCGCTTAACCCCTGATTTCTTCATTCCTAAAAGAAGAGATAACTTCAGAGGGTTATTAAGAATGTGAAAAGTGAATGGGCCAGTTGTTAATTAAAGTACTTGGTGTAAGATCAGGTTCTTTGTGATATTTAACATTAGTTGCCTTCCTACCTTGTGAAATCAGAATTTTAAAACTCACGTTAAAAATACTTCAAACAGTTGTTTTGAATATTATAAACTTGTTAATACGGAAGTATGGTATTTGAGCTTCTTTTTTTTAGACATACTGTTGTGACTATTAGGTATAGTCTAAGGTAGAGTTCTTGCATATAACAACTGTAAAAAAGTGATCTGTGACATTACCAATAAATTAAGTCTGAGTGAAGTGCAATCTGTTATATTCGCTTAGGATAAAATGTGATACTATATTTCATAGAACCTTAGAATTTTTCTCCCTGACACCAGGAAATGTCAAATTATTTTAATAATGACTTGTCCAGCCTTACAAGCTTCTTGAGACCCAGAAGACATTTCATTGGTTTTGGTATTGGTGTTAGTGCTGTGGTTCATCCATAGAGTGCCTCAGTTAAAAATTGATGGGTTAACTTTTATCTAGTTTAGGAACGTCATTGTAGTAGATTTTATAGTCAGCGTATTGGTAATTGTTGCTTTCAGTTTTGTTCAGACAACTACTAAATTTGTGAAAGTCCTCAATATTTGCTAATGGTATTATTAAATACCATTTATAATGCATGCCAAAATGTCTTTTGAAACCCAAATGCTTCCATTTGTACTGCAAGGATAGACTCTTAACCGTCCAGCAGTGCATCTCTTACAGGTACTGAGTCACTTGAAAAGATACAGTGTTCTTCCTGGGTAAACCCCTCCTGGTATGCTTTAATTATCGTGTTTAAAGTGAATTCTCAGAATATGGACACACTAGTTGAAATATTACTAAAATAGGGGCCGGGCGCGGTGGCTCAAGCCTGTAATCCCAGCACTTTGGGAGGCCGAGGCGGGTGGATCATGAGGTCAAGAGATCGAGACCATCCTGGTCAACATGGTGAAACCCCGTCTCTACTAAAAATACAAAAAAAAATTAGCTGGGCATGGTGGCGTGTGCCTGTAATCCCAGCTACTCAGGATGCTGAGGCAGGAGAATTGCCTGAACCCAGGAGGCGGAGGTTGTGGTGAGCCGAGATCGTGCCATTGCACTCCAGCCTGGGTAACAAGAGCGAAACTCCATCTCAGAAAAAAAAAAAAAAAAGAAATATTACTAAAATATAGTTTATTTAAAAGTACAGTTGAGTTTTATAATGTTTGATTAACCTCTTTATGTTTCCACTAATAAGAACTAAAAAACTGTCTTGGTTGCTGTTTAATACCTAGAAAAGTAGAAAGGTTATCCAAAATGCTGAAGATTTGAACCCTAACATTTTCTAATTTCTTCTAGTTAGGAGTTTACTCATTTGTTTAATTGTTCAGTTAGACAAAATGGACATTGACGAAACATCTATTATATACCAGATGCTGAATTAACTGCTGGAAGAATAAAAATGAGGAAACTGTTTCCCCCTTTTAAGAGGTTCATTGAAATAGACATAAGGATTGTGGATGGAAAAATAATTTAAGTACAAAATAATTTAACAAACTGTATAGGAAACAGAGGTAGCCCAATAGTAGAGGAGAGAAGGATTAACTGGTGGGTAGCGGCTCAGAGAAGTCTCATAGAAGGGTTTACTTCTTGAAAGAATAATGGTGGACATAGTGGAAGGAAATACATGCTCTCTTGGAAATATGCCATGTCCTTTGGGAAGGGGAAAGTTAGGAAGTAGAGGAGCTGCCTAGGGGGCTGCTGATATAATCTGACAGATGACAGAAGACCCGGACCAGAGTGCGGGCTACAGAAAGGAAGTCAATTACATATTTAAATGGAAGAATTATCTAATTCGCTTTCTTCAGATTTCAGATCGATCCCCCCACTCTATGCAGTGAACTTTATTTCTTTATGAAAAAGGTAGAGGCTGCCCATCCAGTGTGAATTTCTCAATTGTCTCCCCAAACTTACCTTCTTTTACCCTGACTCAGAGAATAAAGCATTGCTATTCCTTTCCAAGGGTAACTTGGAAAAAAATTTTTATACTTCTAATACTGTTTCCCCAAGATTCTTTGTAGAACTAAGATCTTCTCTTCATTTCTCCCTCCAGTTGGCTCAGTTTTCTCATGTTCAGCAAGCAATTGTTAGGTTCTTCACAGGGACCAGGTACTATGCTAGGCATGGGCTTAAAGTGGGAGATATGGAGTGGGATAAAGAAAGATGTTACAAAACCTTTTTTTTTTTTTTTTTTTTAAAGGATCTACAGACAGGATAGTTTATCTTCACTCCACAACTTTATTGCTCAACCACTAAAGTCTTGTAAGCAAAACTCTCCCTCTGTACGGAAGATAATTTCTGAAAAGATGCTAGTAATCTCTTGCAAAATTTATGAGCAATTTTAGGTTCCACATTCTACTATTATA